TTTCTTTCTTTCTTTCTTTCTTTCTTTCTTTCTTTCTTTCTTTCTTTCTTTCTTTCTTTCTTTCTTTCTTTCTTTTGCTTTCCAGGTCAGTGGAATGAGAGTCACTGAAACTTCAACTCTGAATATGTGCAGCCCATGGCAGCAACTGCAAGACACATGTCATTACTAAACACTTACTATGTGACTATCATGGCATTTGTTTCAATTTAGCTTAATGGATTCATATGTTAAAAACAAAAGCCATCAAACACCACTAATTTTAAATTTATTGTTTTGGAAAGGCTACATTTTTACTTTAAACTCCATTGATCATGGAATTGAGCTGTGCTTAAAACAGATTTCAAAGACTATATCATAAAGGAATGTAAATGTTCATGCTCAAACTTATTATCTGTTATAATAAATATAAGTGGAATTTATTATTAAAATGAATGTCACTGGTTTATTTACACCTACTTAATGTGGGTACTGGAATTTTTCAAATTAGCTTGAGCATTATGATGCATGCTTGAAATCCCAGCACTTGGAAAGTGGAGACAGTGGAATCAGGACTTCAGTTCCAGACTGGGTAACATAACATCTCATTAGGGAGGAAAGAAGAAAAAGATAAGAAGGAGGAAGAAGAAGGGGGTATTTGAAACTATAAATGTGGCTTTCAAGAGTCTTTTATGGTCTTTAGGATGAAACATATTGAACACAAGAAAAACACTCTGTAGGTATATGGGTCACCTTCCATAGCATAAATTCAATGCCAAAATGCTCCTCTCAATCTAGGACGATGAGATAAAAGTCAAGAAATGACACTTTTTTTTTTTTTTTTTTGGTGCTGTCATCCTGTTCTTTACGCAGCGTCACTGGGAATATTGGGTGAAGCTGCCTTCAGGGTAGTGAGTTTGATGGCTAGGTTGGCAAGACGGGGAAAAAGGCAGAGTCTAATTGGTCAAACACTCTAGGACCCAGAATATATTCAATAGAACTAGGGCATGCTGCTTTAAGTATCAGACCCTTAGATTTGATCTCCATGGGCTCCACTGGGCAACTCTCATGACACGCTGATGGCATTTGGTTGATCCTGACCATCTCCAAATTGAATAAATTAAAATTTAAAGCTAAATGAATTAAAATTAAATATTATCTTAAATGCTTCAGAACTGGCATCCAGGTAAATAAATAGCTGGCTCGGTGGTTGTAACTAGAGAGTAGCTGAAGCCATAAGCCAAGGCAATAGGTGAGGAAAAATCACACTCATAATTAATAAAGTCTATGAGAAATGATGGGAATGTCTCTGTTACATCCCATCAATCTAGGGTCTGTCTCTCTAATGCTGTATCATTTCATCCATTTTTTTTTCTATTGAAAAGAGATAATGTCCTAACCGCTTGTATAGGTGTTGCCTTCCTTTCCCGCCTCCGCATCGCTGCAGGTATGAAATAGACTGGCTGAGGACAGAGTGAATAGTGTGTGGTAGAACTCATGCTTACTGTTTTACAAGAAGTTATTTGCGTATGAAATCCTGGAAATGTGTGATACACAGTAAGGTTTTGAGGCCTGTCACAGCCCAGGCCATCAGGCAAAAATGCAACACTTTTGTAGCTGTGTACTTAGCTGATACTCACTGGACAGCTAACTACCAGTGACACTTTGCATGCCATTCTTCATTTTTTCCGTCTGTATTTTTTCTCATCCAGCTTTTTCAGAAATGTTATTCCGATTTCAGTTACACTGTCGCCTTTTAGTCTGTCTTGCAAGAATGTAACATCAGCAGCCAAATGAACCTAGAAAAGGAAAAAAAAAAAAAAAGCAACTTAGACTTGTGTCACTTAAAAAGCATTTTTTTACAATTAATTTTTTTTTCATTTTTTTTTTATAAGAACCATTTGTTTTGTGAATAACAAACCTTAGCCTGTGTTCTCCAGAGATAGCCTGGCTCCGTGTCATCAATGTGGAGCACTGAAAGAAGGGTGAGCAGTTCAGGAGTGGCCCAGACTTGTCCACTCCTCTCAGCAAGAATATAAGATCCTGACTCACAGAGAGACCGCACTCTGCGTGCTTGGCCAAGCGAAACTTCAGAGAAGAAATGGGCTCTTATAGGATTCCTCTCAAGCTGACTTTCCATAAAGCATTCAGTCATTAGCTAAACAATATAATCGCTTATACTAACAACATTTAGCAATTGCCTATGACTTTGAGAGCTTTGAAAAATACTGACTAAATACATTATAAATATAAAATTAGATATTGAATTACAGACATGAATATTTGATGGCCAGGCATTCTTTTCAACTTGAAAGCATTTCCCATTTCCCAGACAATGAAGTAAGCCCAAGGGCTTACTTCTCTATTCATTAAAATGTGTTCATGTAAGAGCAGCACGATATTGCTGCACTATTTTCAATTGGGTATCTGATCAGAGTTATTTTTAGTCACTGGGATAAAGAAGATAAATGAGTGAGGGTAGTCGGTAGAACGTAGTAAGTGAAAAACTCCTGGGTCTAGCAGGCAATTAATTAATATTTATTTAAACTTACCTGACTCACTCTTCCCAGATAGAGAATTCCTAGGCAATGAGCCTAGGCTATCTAAGCCACAGGCCTCCAAATGTCAGATTATCTGTCTCACAGAAAGTGCAAAACCCTTGTCTTGTGACACCCACAATCCAATGATAGAGAGTAAGGTATATTTGAAATACAGGGCTTATAATTAATCTCTGATTTTTCTTCCATATGTTTCTTTTCTTTTTTACATCTTAGAAAATATAACAAAAGGTCCATTTAAGAAACACAAAAACTATGAAAGCTCTTTGGAAATGTGAGGCCACATGACTCCTGACACTTGTGGTCTGCATATGTGGTCAACAATTACCCATGGAAGCTGGAGACTTCTTTATTCCATTTCTGCTTTAGTTATATTGTTACCCATTTCAGTATGACCTCCTAGAATTATTCTAGTCCCTTTTCTTGATATAATGCCCACCAATGCAGATCAAATCTAACACAGTCTAGGGTACATTATAGAGGGTCTGCACGGAAAACACGTGAGATATATCTTCATAGTTTGAGGATATAAGTTACTTTATCCTTCCTTAACCTCCATAAATAAAATTATATGCATAGATCCTTATGGGGTAGGTCAACAACACAGGTTTAGAATGGTTAGCAACTGGCCTTACTATCGTCATAGAGAAGATTCTAAAAAACAAAACAAAATAAAACAAAACAAACAAACAAAAACAAAACAAGACTGTTGGCTGTTGCCTCTGCATCAGCTGCTGCCACCTCACCAGTCTTACAGATTCTCTTCTCCTTCCTCTTTTCTTCATCACAGCCTCCACCAAGGCCCTCTTCCATGCCTTTGTAAGCGGTGTTAACTATGTTGAGGTGGTCTTGTTAATCTTGGAATACTGTCTGCTTCCTGGTTTCTGTGACCCCATTGCTCTTTAGCTTCTTCCTTCTTCGGAGAACTCTGTCTTCATCCTTTACTGGTGTGTTCTGATTCTTAGAGTTCCATCTAGTCTCCCTTTTCTTTCTGCTATACAGAATCTCCTTTAGGCATCTCTGTCCATTCTGACACCTTTTCAGTCATGTTCTTCAGGCACTTATCAACAACTTGGGCCAGGTGTGGTGGTGGCAAACACCTGTAATGCCTGCAGTCTGAGGCTAAGGCAGGAGAATCATGAGTTTGAGGCCGGTCTGTGCTACGTAATGAGTCCTCATCTATAAATGAATGAACAAAAAAGGTAAAAACTTCTTTCTGAACTCTTCACTGTGTGTTTGTTAAACATCTCAACAGTAGCAGGTTCAAGGTTGAGCTTTTCTCCTAGTCAGTTCCAACCATCTTAGTTTTGTTCTATTGGTTAATAGTGAGATGTTCCCTACAGGGGACAGAACCTGGGGGTCATTTTTCAATATTTCTTCTTTTCAATTTTGATCTTTTCAGGCAGCTGACATCCAAGTCTTGTCTGTTCTGCCCTGACGAGTACTGCCCAGATGAGTCGCCTCTTGATTGCTATTGTCAGGGATGCCTGAGGTTACCAGCAGTACTTTCATACCCACCCTTCTCTCTCCCTCCCTCAGCATTCTCCCTTCCATGTATACCCTCACCTGACTGACAGGAAATGGGACTTCTAGAACACAAATTTCAAACTCTCACTTCCTTGATTCTGAACCTGAGTCTACTCTGATACTTCCCATGTAGAAGACTGAATTTCCAGATCACACGATTTCCCTTCTTTTATCATTAAAGAATTTAAGACTCTCTCACAGTAGCCCTTCTCCCAGTCTTCATGTCTGACCTTCTGAACATATTTGCATTTCCAGTTCTTTCATTTTGAGAGGTCTTTAAACATTCTGATTGGTCTGCTTGAAATATTGCTTCCCTGCTCTCTTTACCGAGAACTTCACTTAGTTCCCATTATTCCTTCAAGACTCCAGTTCAGTGTTTTTATCATGATTATGTGGATTTTCTCTTACTCTACACTCTTCCCCACTTTTTTTACACTCTCTTTTACACTTCTTTGCACATGACTTCTTGAACTAGACACCAGATTCTCTATGGCAGCAGCAAATGTATTTTGTCCATCTTTGCAAGCTCAGTGCCTGAACCTTTAACAGATGTTAATAACTATGTCAGTTAAACCAGTGAATAACTCAGGTGCGGAACTCAGCCTCAAAAATGACCTGCATTGACCTGTATCTCCGGTAACACATGCTCTCTGCTTTCTCCTCCCACATAGCACCAAGGTTGGCAGCTTGGATTGCCAGGCTGTGATTAGATCCACAAAGAGGTCTATGTGGAGAGGAACTTTAGGAAGACTCTGCACAGTGCAGGGCACTGAGGTTTTGTGAACCTGTGGGTAGCTTCCCTAGTATCTGCACAGGCTACAGCTGAAACTGCATGTAAAGTAGGCTGTGAAAGAGCATTCTGAGGTACCTATGGAATTCTTTTTAATTAATTAATTGTGGATGTGTGTGTGCATGCTCACACATGAGCATGTACCATAAAGTAGGAATGAAAGTCACAAGATATCTGTCCTTGCATGATAGGGATTCTAAAAACGGAAGTCAGGTTGTCAGGCTAAATGGTACAAGCTGAGCCATCTCCCACCCAGATTTTTTTTTTCTTTCTCTTGGGCAAAATCCTCAGCCTTCCATTTTATTTTTAAAATTTTAATACAAGGCTGGGCAGTGGTAACACATGCCTTTAATTTCAGCAGGGAAAGCAGGTGGATTTCTGAGTTTGAGGCCAGCCTGGCTTACAGGATGAGTTTCAGGATAGCCAGGGCTACACAGAGAAACCCTGTTTCAGGAAAACAACAACAATAACAAAAAATAAAAAGCAAACAAAACAAAAAACAAATAGGGGGATGAGGCTGAATTTGATTTATATAGCACAGATTTGGCCTTGATTTTTTTTTTTTTTCTGAGACAGGGTTTCTCTGTGTGTAACCTTGGCTGTCCAGGACTCACTGTAGACCAGGCTGGACTCAAACTCATAGAGATCTGCTTGCCTCTGACTCCCAGAGTGCTGGGATTACAGGAGTGCACCACCACTCTGGATTTGGCCATGAATTTGCAATGCTGATCCCCTTACCTTACTTCCCAAAGTCACTGAGATCACAGGCTTGCAGCAACAGGGCCCACATGGTCTAGGATTTCCCATTGTTAGAGACTATGCGTTCATTTGAGGTTGTTACGTTTTAAGGACAGCAGTGTGTGGCTGGACATGCAATGACAGGATGAAACACACGTGTTACCATCTCCAGGGCTCCTCTGATGATCCCACACAGTAAGTTGCAGTAGCACAAGGCAGATCGTCCAGCAGGGAGCTCTTCCACAAACTCTGCCAGAGGATTCTTGTCTAGAATCAGGGAAAATTTGTTTCTGCTTGAGTTGTGACAGGTCACACTTGGTGTAATTCCCAAATACATCTTGAAAGCAACCTGATAGAGAGAGAGAAAGAGAGAGAGAGAGAGAGAGAGAGAGAGAGAGAGAGAGAGAACATTATTGCACTTAGTCTCAAACAGAAGTCTATACAGACAACCTGGTAACCTCTTCTAGGTATTGCAGCCCATTGTCAGCTCTCCAGCCTTCGTCTGCAGCCAGGATGTTTGTGTTCACACCTGGTTTTGCAGTTTACTGGCCTTATGCCATGTGAGACTATTAAATAGTTTTTATTTTTATAGAACATCCTGAAGTGCTGGGGTCTGTGGAACAATATGGGTTTGTAAAAAATATTATTTCTAGCCAGGCGTGGTGACCGCATGCCTTTAATCTCAGCACTGGAGAGCCAAAGGCAGGCAGATTTTTGTGAGTTCCAGACCAGCTTGGTTTACAGAGCTTCAGGATAGCCAGCACTGTTATACAGAGAAACCCTGTCTCAAAAAACAAACAAAAAACGAGACAAAACAAATAGACAAACAAACGAAATTATTTTCAAAAACCCTTGTAGAAAACACAGAGGATTTAGGATGGTGAGAAACAAAAAGATTAATTATCAACACAGTAGTATATAACATACTGATCATGGCAAACCATAAAATTCAGGGTTGGAAGGGCTCCTCGGCACGTGTTCTGCATTACGAAGGCCCTGGTCTGAGAAGAGTACGCTCTGGGAAGATTAGACACAAAAACTTGAATAATTATCATACTGTAGATGTCAACTCTTCCAGGAGGAACAAGGGCCGGTGGTGGGAGCAGCATAAATGTGCAATAATGCAGTTGTCAAAAGTGTCTGCTGTGGTGCAGGACTCAAAGAACCCCACAATGCAGAAACAGATAAAAACCTTAGACAGCCCCCGTTTTCCCATTTCTTTCTGTCTGTCTTTGTAAGTGGAGCTTAAGCATTTTAGGATTTACTTCTTTTTGAGACATTGTTTTAACATTATTTGATTGTTTATATGTGTATGAATCTGTAATGGCACACAGCCAGAGGACAACTAGGAGGTGGGTTCTCCCCTTGTCATGTAGATCCTAAGGAGAGGACTGACATCACCAAGCTTAGAGGAAAGCGCCTTAACTCGCCCAATTCACTTCACTGGCCCTGCTACTTCTCTTAAAGGACAACTTTCACAAATGTGTAATCTGGTATTTAGAAAAGCAAAAATGACAGTGAAGACGGTAGCCTTTTAGTTCTTTGGCTCCTAATCCAAGGCAGATTCTTTTCGCAGAACACCTAGATCAAGCTTTTAAAGCATATTAATGGAAATCTGTCAGTTTGTTGCATTGCCATCATTCCAAGGCCTTAATTATCTTAATTTTAAAATTAAGAGCAGTGTAGGAGAGAAATGGAAGCAATTTTCTTAAATTACCTGTAATGTGAAGTACAAAACAAGTTCATTCATTTGTTCACTGGTTCACTTAACAGCTGTTTGTGGAGGACTGCTTTTCTCTCCCGTGTCTACTGTGGTGCAAATTCAGTAGCCACTTGCAAATCAAACTCCAGAGTGAGTTTACCATCTACGTTTGACATCATGTTTAGGTCTAGAAATCCAGGAGCCTGGAGTGAGCTAACATTTGCTAGGTGAACAAATTGATGTGATGAAGGGGCAGAGACAGAAGAAACATGCCCTGCCATGAAACACAACACTGTGGTTCAAGGAAAGTCCACATCTGCCAAGTGGTGGGCAGCTGGGAGCCCCACAGATGTCCTAATCCTGCAGACTCCGAATCCGTTTTAGAAGGAGTTCCTTTGTGTAAAAATGATCCTGTCGTGAATCAAGAAGTTACGTGAAGAGAAATGAGGACTCCTCCTCTTCTCTAGAAGCCCCAGTAGTTATTAGGCTTCCTACATGAATTCTAATAATCTCAACACCTAAACTATGCCCTTTCAAGAAGCCAGAACCCCTGTCTACTAAATCTTAGGGCATAGAACAAGAGAAAAAAACTATCATAAGGAGCTGTGTTTGGCAACAAATCAATGGCTGAAACCCGTTTCTGCTAGGGCTGAACCTCCCACTGGAAATTTTCTATACTATAATTTGTATGGGAATTTTCGATTTGCAGCCAAAAGCTCATGGAAAAGAGTAGTAACAGGAACGGTGTCCTTTGCACTTGTCAATGTTTTTGGCTGCCCTCGAGTGTCAGCATCCACCGGTAGGAGGCATTATCTGCCCATTGTTGGGAAATAAGCATTCCTGGGGAATGACACTGTTGCCTTATCTGGCTGGATGCAGACAGAGGAGGACTGTTGTTTCAAAAGAGCTCCACCCTCGGCCACAGCCACAGTTGCTGTGTTAAAACCAAGGCAAACGTTTTCCCCTCCTTGTGTGTCTCCAACATGGATGTTTTCCAGAGCATTTTAAAATTTCTTCTTAACCAAAAAACCGCTATTGGCTACAGTTTCATGGCTTTGCTCACCGTGGGAAGCGAGCGTCTCTTCTCGCTGGTGGCGTTTAAGTGCCCCTGCAGCGCTGAGAACACAGCCTATGGGCTGGTTTTCCTCTTTGCCCCTGCCTGGGTGTTACTGATTCTTGGATTCTTTCTGAATAGCAGGGCATGGAGACTCTTCACTGGCTGTTGCAAGAACCCCAAAAGAATCTTCCCCAGGAGACAATGCTGCCGCTTCTTCTATCTCCTGTGTCACATCACACTGAGTTCCCTGGTGGCCCCAGTGATGTGGCTCTCTGTGGCTTTGCTTAATGGGACGTTTTATGAATGTGCTGTGAGCGGGACAAGAAGCCCAGGGATCCTGGAACTGATTTGTAAGGGCAAGCCCAAAGAGTGCTCAGAAGAACTGTACAAAGTCTCCTGCGGCAAAAGTAGCATGGCACCCGTGGACAATGAGGAGGTGAAGCTGTCCCTGCAAGCCCAGTCTCAGGTAAGGACAAATGTGCCTTTTGCTCCCAGTGTGAGCATAGAGATTTCTATCTTCCTTTCAGGCAAGCCAGAGTATGAGAGATGCCAGAATATTTTGGCACTAAGTGGAAATTGGAACATGATGGAGCATTAAGACAATCTGAAGAAGAGCTTTTTAGGGACAGGCAGGCTCAGTAAAATTGCTGATTGGATCGTGCAGTCTCTATTTAAAAAAAAAAAAAAACCCTCTGGGTTCTGCATATGTAAATACTTAAGTGCTCAAAACCATCTCTCTGGGTTGACTTTGTAAATAATGCAGAACACAAAATCATGTACTGAGTGCTAACCCTGAGCTGTAAATAAGCATTATTGCCTCCTATCAATTATTTATTTTCAAGCCAGTGTCTCAGAAAACCCACAGGCATATCCTATTCATCCACTAAGATATAGCTGGGCCAAATCAGCTACTACTTTTTAAAGCAGCCGGTAGTGTAATTAGCATAGAGATTTCCTCGAGCAATCACTGTGGCAACTGCTTTCCCTCTGCTACTGTGCTGTCAGGATTGAAAGTTTCCCAAATGAAGTGGGACTGAGCAGTCTTTTAAATGGCTTTTTGGTGAAGAATGACCGAAATTCCCTAGGGAGATTATGACTTTTCCTCTGTGTGTTGTACAGCTAAGAAAGTTCTCATGCTACTTTAGAAGCTCAGGATTTGGAGCATTGTCTTACTTGTGGGAAGTAATTTACAGCTTCAGCTAATCAATATAAGGAAGGAACTTGTCATTTTGCCAGGCGTCTGAACACTGATCTAAGTGCATAGTCCTAGCCTGGCCTTGTGATGAAGCCAATTTCCTGTTCCTAAGGTCAAAAGAGGTTGTAGGAGCAAACAAACAGAGCCATCCTTTCTCAGGAATACTGTTGGTTTCTGGATAAATGTTTGGGCACACTGCAATTTTACCTTTTTAGCAAGGACTTGCCCTTACCACAAACACATCAAAGCCAAGTCAGCTCCCACAATCTAAAATGGTTAATAGTAAAGTTATATTCTTCATAAATTAATTAGCCGAAGAATGTGCCTAGATAAACTTCTTTGTTTAATTCATAAAGCATAGGTCAGATGGAACATGCCCGGCTCCTAGGAGTGCTTTTCAGCTTTTGTTGAAGGAAGGTATTAATTACTAATGTTATGATAATGTGAGTGACACATTTACCTCTGAAGGCGCCAGGCTCCATTCAGCCAGTGCCAACCCCAAACACTCATCACCATGCCAGCTCTTCTTTAAATATAAGCCCACAGAAAGCATGCACATCTGGTCATAGTTTAGGTTGGCCACAGGTCATAGGCCAACAGGTCATGGTTGACTTTTCATCAAAATGAGAAGGACCTACAGGTGGATGCCCAAGAGAATAAAGGTGTAGCAACAGCAGGTGCTGACCATGAGGTTCAGGTGGCAGCAGGCATCACACAGTTCAAAACAATAATTGGGCATGTGGGCGGAGGTGGAAAAGTGCATTCATTCATGGGTGGGGCAGAGCAAAAAGAAACCCAGGTGGATGACTCTCTGGTCTTTAGGATGGTGCAATGGAGTAGTGGAAAGAGCTCAGCCTTGGAGTCAGCTGGCTTTGAATCCTGACACTGCCACTCCCAGCTCTGTGATACAGAACTCTGAACCCTAGTTTTCTCACAATGCCGGACTGTAGAATTTTCTACCTGCTCTAGAAATTTCTTTAGAGATAATGGACATCAATAGGCATAAAGCTTCTAGAACATTATCAAGTATTCCAAGGTGAGGAATTCTGCCAGGATTTAGAGAAAGAGACAAATAGGACACAATTAGGGTCTGGACTGGGCACAGTCACCACATTCTAGTTAGAGTGCTAGGTGCTGTGAGTCTAGGAGGATAAGACTCAGCAGTCAGGTGAGAAAATGACAGGGATGGGGTGGGGTTCTGAAGCTGATCAAATAGTTTCTAACTCATCAGGATTAGCTCAGGTAGAAGGGAAATGGCTTCTACATAGAAGCCCAGTCCCACTGAAGAGGAAGGGGATGCTGAAAGAAAGGGGAAGGTCTGAGGAAATCAATCATAAGCCGGTGACTGAAGAAGAGCAGGAGAACTCTCACACAGTAGTGACTGTGTCTCACCTGGTTATGTAGAACACAGAGATGCTTGAAAACAGGTAGATAACAGGTATAACTGATGAGCTCTTTACCTAGCTTTTCCTAAAATAACTTCTGAGATGGGTAACCTAAATTTCAATATTATAATTAAATTATAATACTATAATATAATAGTCACAGGCAGCACCCACAGTGAGGGGAAATTTAGGTGTTATGCCTGAGGAATGCCAACTCAGAAGTGGCATTTATGTAAAGGCTGAGGCCCTTTTAGTATCCCCACTTCTGGGCCAACCAGTTAAAGCTGGAACAACCAAGTTAAAGCTAAAACAATGATCTGAATGGACAGATTGATCTAAATTTGCAGATTGTAGTTTCTGTTCTCAACAGAGCCCATGTACTTAGGGTCCTTTGAACTGAAATTAGGGGGCACTTTCAAGAAATCTGTTAGTTTTTAAAATATAAAGTTAATTCAAATTATGGAAAGTTAAATTGCAGCAACAGATTTAGAAGCCATGTTAACTATAGACTTTTGCTTTAAAAAAATCAGCAGGATAATTCATATTCAGGAAAGAGTTTATTTTAAGAACACATAGTCCTCAAAGTTTGGAATGACCCCCCCTTTTTTTCTGTCTCTCTCAGCATTTAAAAAGGCTTTAAATTCTTACAGCTTCTGCTCATTACTGTATTGCGTCTTTTCTTTCTTTATTGTGAGCAATGAATTCTAGGACTCACTGAGTGGCTGCTGCTCCCTCCGAAGCCACTTGGGAAAAGTTGGTCAGCAACGTGGGCATGCATTGATCGGTGCCTGGACACCATAACAAAGTGATCATTCATTCAAATGTCCAACATGACTCATCAGAGGGGTTTTTCTTCCGCTATCTTGAAGTGCTTTATAAGAGTTATAAGAGTGAGTAGTCACTCTTTCCATTTGCTACTTTACTCCTTTGCACAGCAGCTATGTTGAGTAGAGCAATGGACATTGAATCAACTCTCTTTTTATTTTGAGTGTCAAAAAAAATTTTTAAAGGTAAGATGGATAATTACAAATGACATGGTCGCAATGCCTGTGGTATTAAGATAGTTCTATACTGTATAATGTTATCCCGCTCCCTGAGATGCAATTCTGCTTTTCTGTGTCCTCAATATTTCTTTCGCCCTAAGATTCTAGGATGGTGCCTGATTTGTTCAGCATGCTTCTTCTCTCTGCTGACCACTTGTTATACACGCTGCAGATCTCATGTCAGCTATCTGCAGCTGAGTTTTTGGAAGACGTACGCACAGAGGGAGAAGGAGCAATTGGAGAACAAACTCCTGGAATACGCCAACAACCTGAGTGAGAGGAACCTCAAATGCTTTTTTGAAAACAAAAATCCAGATCCTTTCCCCATGCCCTCCTTTACTGCCTGGGAGGCTGCATCCGAGCTGCATTCATTCCACCAAGACCGTGAGCACTACAGCACCCTTCACAAGGTAGTAGATGATGGTCTGGAGCAAACTGCCCAAGAAGAGGAGACAACAATGATCCTCGTGGGAACCGCCCAGAGGATGTGAGTCCTCCACCCTCACTGGCTCAGGGGTCCAGCAGTACAGACATTCAGAGGGTCTCCTGCTGTCTGCACAACAACCTGCGCCTCTGCATTTTCTCACCATCAGAGCTGCTTTGGAAGACAACAGCACAGGGGAAAACTGTCTCTGAGCACCATGTCTGGATGTGCTCAAACTGGTGCTGAGCGAAGACAAAGACACTTGGAGTTGGTGGAGGGTTGGTCCAGGAGGCCCAATAGTTGCTTCAAGCTCCAAGGTTGTATGACTCAGCCTTCAGAGTCTGGCAAGGTGGTCTGCTGTGCCTTGCAAGTATTTGACACGGTTCTGGGGGAAGTACCCTGCTGGAAGCCTTTCCAAAGTATATCCAACACCTTTCAATTTGGAAGGAATTCTACCATTTGGCTAACACTCCTTTCTACAAAATACCCCCACTCTCAAGAATCACTAACTGCAAGAATATGATGTCTAAAAGTCAAAGGTTCCCATATTTTCCCCAAATTCTGAAAGCCTGCCCCCAGTCCTCATGACTGCTGTGAGTGGCTGGCACTTATGCCTCCATGGACCAATTTCTACATTCAAATGACAATCACAAAAGACACACATTCAAGACTGCATTGATATAAACATAAAGACATTAATATTGTATAGTAAAAACACTTTTCTCAATAAAAAAATTTCCATTTTTTTTTCCTGATTTTAAAATTGAAAATCACTTTTACAGATACCTACTAAAATTCTGGGCCCAGGGCATGGTTGCTGCTATGTTGTAGGTAAATCTTAGCTTCTTTGGGCTATTATAACAAAATGTCACAGGCTATGTGGCTTGCAAACAACAGTTTTCACAAATTGGGAGGCTAAAATTTCTGAGGTAAGAGTACAGCTCAGGCAGGGCTTACTGAGAGCTTTTCTTCAGCTGCTGATTGTTGGTGCCCTACTGTGGGTCATGTGGTGAAAAGGACAAATAAGCTTATGGGACAACTTTTTTTGAGGGAGCTCAGCCCATGCTGCAGGCTCTGCCTCACTGCTCTAGTGATCCCACAAAGCCCACTTCCTAATGACATCACGGTCGAGGTTAGGTTTCACTATGTGAATTTTAGAGAGTTTAAACACATTATAGAATAGATTGGTAATGATCTGATAGAGATCGTAAGAGACTCTCCACAGTAGACCAGCATAAAATTGTGTTCCAATGTTATAGTTATCAGGAAAAACATGAGTGTTACTACTATGTAATATTCACTGTGTGTGCATGTTAGCATATGACAAAGCTCTGAGTGGATCTACACTTAAGGCACAGGGTCTACATTTAGCTCTATAGCTCATACCTTATATCACTAGCTGTCTGCATCCCCAGGTTTAAGAAGGCTTCATCTTAGCGCTTCATTAACATAAAGGTTGATGAGAAACTGTGGGAGAATCCTGTAAGGCCAAAAGCCCTAGAAAAAAATCTTAAGATTGTGATTTATAATGAGGAATATGTTCTTGCTTTTGTGTCTATCCTTGGTACAAAGTTCTAGAACCCATGGAATTCTTACCATGTGCCCATTCACTAATGAGGTGACCTCTGCTCAGCCGAGGATGGGGCTGGCTGCCAGGAACAACCATGTCACCAAAGACTTTCTGCCTCATCCTCTGCCCTCTGAAAAGTAGCCAGGGACTGAATGTTCATCCTGGCAATAATGTCCAACCTTTTTGACATCACAGCAAGATGCTGACATCTACTAAGCCCATGCCCAGAATTGGCTGGGCAGTCAGGACAAACACACAGACAGACACACACACACACACACACACACACACACACACACACACACCACCACCACCACCAGCACCACCACCACCACTACACACTTACACACACATACACAGACACATACGCATACACTACCACCACCACCAACTTACCTACAGACATACACACACCACCCTCATATGCACATATATACACTTACCACATACACACTCATACACACATGTACATAGATATGCACACTCATATGCACACATAATCATATACATACAATACTCCACACACTCATATATGCACATACCTATGCATACACTGCACACGCATACATACACACATTCACACTAAACACTCCACATACACGTTCATACACACATGCCACCACCACACACTTACTTATACACACACATACAAGCACACCCATGCACACATACACACACATACCACATGCACACAGATACACATGCATACACACACATTCACATATGTACAAAGACACACAGACACACGTACACCTATGTGTACTCATACACACAGACATACACACATAGGTCAAATGTAATGGAAAAATCCAAACATATAATAATAAGCACAGTGCTTTCCTGAGCCTTGTAGGCTACTCTAGTGAATAAACCCACGTGAAGAAAGAATCGGGAGAACCTTTAACTGGTTAGCCTGTGATCCTTCTGCTCATTCAAAGTCAGGGGAAATTCTTGGGAAATGGGCTCTAAGCCTGGATGGGAGCCATGTGTAACCGCAGTTAATGTTAGAATTATTTGAATTATGAGATACTCAATTTACATTTGGGAGGTTTACCAGTGTGAGAAAACACCTGCCCTTGTAGGCTAGAAGTGTTAATACAGAAAGAAAAAAACCACAGCCTTCACGTTCCAGAAGAGCAGCATTGGGAGTGTGTGCTAGGTATAGGCATACTGGGATTAGACAAGGCAGAGTGTCAAACGGGGACAAATAAAAAAATTAAAAAAAAAAAAAGAAAAAGGTGAGCATCTTTCCTCAGCCCTGTCTTGACTGGGAGCTTGCACATCTCTGAGTGCTTACTGAGGCCTAGGAAGCAGGTGGGTCCCAGCCAATAGCCATGCATCTCCTGGGTTGGGCCAAAGGCAGAGGCAGCATTTTTACAAAAGCAGGTTAGTTGCAGGAGGCTGAGAAGTGAGGAGAAATCACTGGGGCACATCTCTGCCTCCCTCTACCTCAGGGCCTTTTTATATTTAACAAGCCTAGTCTCAGGATTAGAGATGCCCCATGCAAGCAGCTTCAAGCTGGCAAGCCAGCAGCCTGTGCTTTTTGCTTAGTAAGTCGGAAAAGAACTGACACTCCTACTCTGAACAAGTCACCCCAAGATGAGTCAGGTTCTCTTCCTGACTCCTGACTCCTGGCGGAGTGGTATTTTATGCAGGATGTAAGCAAGTTCAAGACTCCTTATCTATCCCTTCAACAGCCTTGGTGGGAATGGGTGGAGACAGGGAGAGAAAATTGGTATCGGTTCTTTGGTGTCCAGAGGGTGCAGGTCTCTGGAGGAAGGGTGTGTACAAGTGTACAAGTGTACAAGTGTGAGCAGTTTGTTATCATAGGTGGGGCTCCCTAAACCAAACCCCAAACTTAGGGAGCTTGGGAAAGAACAACTTGCAGAACAGAGGGAAGTAGAATTGGGTTTCAGGTAAAATGTCAGTCCTACCTATCCCACGGCAAATGCCGGTCATCTGCCTTGGCTATAAAGCAACAGTTCTCAACCTTCCTAATGCTGTGACCCTTTAATACAGTCCATTATGTTGTGCTGACTCCCCAACCACAAAATATTTTTTATTGCTACTTCATAACTGTAATTTTGCTACAGTTATGAATTGTAATGTAAATAGCCAATATGCAGGATATCTGATATGTGACCTCCAAAGGGGTCATAACCCACAGTTGAGAACCACTACTCTAAAAGCTTCTGATTTGGCTGTGAATGCTTCAAAGTAGGAAGGACCCTTTCCCGTAACAGGAAATTACCTATCTGGAGGTATCAGAAGGGCCCCCTTAATGTCTGCTTTCCTTTAGACTTAGAACTGACATTAACAGAAGACATCTCAGGCCCCACCCAAGCCCTGGCTTACTGCCTCTTCCAGCTTCCAGCCAGATCAACAAATCAACAGTTGCTTTCTTTTACATAAAGGATAGTGAGCTCTGAGAAAGGACATGATGCCTCTCCAAACAAGGGACCAATATAAGAAAAAAAATTCAAAGATTTTCATTTTGTCTATTTTAATTATCCCATGAGAAACTAACCACAAACATAAAATGTTCTTTTACTCCTGTGCATTCCTAGCTATTTGTTCAGACTCAATAACCCCAATAGTTTTAGGATGCATTGAGCTTATTAATTTTCAATAGAAATGAGAATAAGTATTTAGCAAAATTACAAAATAAGCCTTGATAGACAAATAACTAAAGAATTCTATATATTCTATATAATTCTGCATATGTTCTCAAACTGTTTTTTAATGTAAATGTTATTTTCTTCTTTTACCTGTAAAACACCATTGAACGTGTATACATCTAACAGGGAATTGATGAAGCTAGTCACACTATTTGTGGCACCATAGTTCAAAGCCCAATGTCCAGTGGTTTACCATAGCAACTGGCTAAGACTCTAGGACTCCCCAGATAGCAGAAAGCTCATACCTTTCCTCCCATAGTTCATTTCAGGTATTTCAACTACTCTCATTAACTTTTTGCCATTGTTACAAATACCTGAGATAAGTCGACTTTCAAAAGGAGAAAGTTTACCTTGGCTCACCGTTTTGGCAGGGCAGCACATCATGTGAACCTCATGGCATAATAAAGCCACTTCAGGAAGCAATAGAGGCTGTGACTGTCTATACCTATTCAAGCCATGCCCTAAATAACCTTAAATCCCCCCACTATGCCCTACCTCTTCCCAGCATCACCTCAGAACAGTGAAAAACTGGAGCTCAAACCTTTACTGGGCCTTTGAAGAACATGCCAGATGCAGACCATAGAACAGTACTATGATCATACTTAGAATGTGGTGTTTCCGAATTCTCTAAGACGTATTCCTTAATTTTGTAAACATTCCTCTTTGTCTTCTGTTGTATAAGCTAGAGGCTGTTTAGTTTTTTGTTTTTTTTTTTTTATGCGTAAGACTAGGATCTGTCTCTTTAATTATCCCAAACTTATTAAGAAAAAGAATTAAACTATCAGCATGTTGGGCAGGATCCATCAGCATGTTGGGCAGGATCCAAAGGAGTCAGTGTGTCAGTGTGTCAATGTGTCTCAGCATTGCCTGTACTTTGCAATAACCTGAGGCTTTGAAAATCTCAGTGTCAGGCCTACTCCACATATCCTGATCTATTTTTCTTATTGGAACGTGGACCTTGGGATTTTGAAAACCACCCATATGATTGTTTCCAGGGAAGCCATGGAAATGGTTGACCATGAAGCTGTGATATTTGCAATACTATCGGGTTTTCAAAGAGTGACACATAACCAGACCTTGTGTCTCCAGGTCCTAATTAGAACTATTTGCCAGTGTTCATTGGTGCAATATTAAGTTGCCAACGTGATACCTTTAAATGAATAGGTAGGAAAAACAGCGTCTGTGTTTGTTTATTTGTGCTGTATAGCCCAGGTTGACCTAACTCACTATGTCAGCTTGTAACAAAAGCTGGCCTTGAACTCCTGATCTTCTCAGTTCTGCATCACCACACCTAGTTTTGTTTGTTTGTTTTGTTTCTTGGAGGAACATAGTTCTAGCCAAGTCAATTCTGAATCAGTTTTGGTGCATATACAAAATCTAATATCAGGGTGTTAGCCAAGGATCTTCAGTGAAACAGAATCAGTAGTGTCTGTATACATACATACCAATATATGAGAAGGTATTTGCTGTGGCA